CACATTTGCCGACTTTGGGGACCTAATTTAAATAACTGTGAACATTGTTCAGTGTTTCTTTTACTAGCAGAAAATTGCAGGGCAATAATTATAATACATATTTGATAATAAGGATAGAATAAATCAGTTGAATCATAATGGTCTAAGAATATCTGTTTATAGGTCCTTTTGACCCAGGAGCCTGTGACCTGTGAAATCTCCAGGTTTTTGTATTTTAAAAAATATTTTACACTGCAGGGATTTAAAGTCAGACTAACGCCGCACTGCAGAAAGTTGGCTAACACGGTCCAAAGGGAGAGCCTGTGAGGGCGTAAGATGGGAAAGGTTTAAAAAGTTCAGGTAACAGTGAGCATGTGTGAGGACAGGCTGCAGTGAAGAAGTTTCTCTCCTTCCCCCCTCGTTACAAAGGGAACCTGCAGTTTAACCTGGCGTTTGCAGTGCTCTGATTACTCAGCAGCATTCCATTTTGCGAAATCACCGCCAAGAAAATTTACCCAAATCTTGAGTTACAGACTGTTCTTGCATCTGATTGGAAGGGCCTCGGAGTTGTTTGCGCGGATTGCAGATCCAAGGCTGTACAAACGAAGGCGGAGGCTTGGGGGAGGGATGAGTCAGGGAAGGGAAGCTTCCTAGACGTTACAGCTCTGTCCAGAAGCCAAATGGGAGATAAATCACCTCTGGCCACCTCTCTTATTATTGAAATGGTTCAGCCCTGGGGTTTAACTGAAGGACTAACAGGGTTTTGAAGTGCAAATAGGATGGTGAAGGGTAAACCCTTTTAGGGTTTAATTTTGATGGATTTTTTTCCTGTGTGGATTTCTGGCACTGACTGTGATCTGGAAGAGCCTTTAAAAAAGGAAAGTTTTGTTTTGTTTTTGATCAGTCAGGCCGGAAGAACTTTCTACAGGGGTGTACTTTTTCTCTGCGTGCATATTGATTCTATTGTGTTTAAGAGTAGATAATTTAATTGGATCCTTTCTTGAGCCTTCTGCCGTGGGGCTGTCATTTCAAGGCCACGTCTCTCTTCGTGTGAAGGCCACAGTTTGGGAGCGCTGGATCAGTAGTTCGGGGAGGGTTACTTTGGGCCACTGTGTGTTAAACAAAGTCTTCTAGGTAAAGATCAAGTCCGTACTAGAACTTACAAAATGATAAACATTCTGTAATTATTTAATCCTTTTCCACTGAGTTATGCAGTTGTCCCTTTTCGTTTATTTATCTTGTATCCATTCTGCTTTGACAGCCAAAAACCAAAACCAAAACCAGAAAATCCTCAACTTAGGAAATATTGTGGCGTCTTATCTGTAGAGACACACTGAAGTGCATGAGGAAATAAGGGAGACATAAAAAATGTTTAAATATAGGATGCTGACTTATTAAGTTGAAAATTTTTTACCCCCAAATAATTCAAACACAAGAAACAAAATATTTGTTAAATTTATATATTTTTTGGAAAATGGAGCTGAGAAGAGTCATTAGTTATTCCAAAAAAATATTATAACTAACTTAAAGGCTCTGAGTACAGAATTCTAAAGAAAAAATAAAATGCTTTTACTAAATAAATGCCATTATAAATGCTCATATTTCTGCTTTGAAACATTGATGGACTTTTCTTCATTATTTTGGCTCTAGACGTAACATATATTTGCCTTACTTGCCATTTTTTGAGAATGATAATGTATCTTGCTGTAACAGAGATTTTCCTCTGTGTTGCTTGGTGTCCATTATAAAAATGGGCTGTTAATCTCCATAATTAACATTGATCAGACAGTGTTCTTAACTGACCTCCGGCTTAGTGTTTTTTGCTTTTATGTTCTCCAGAATTTTCCCTTCATGTATTCTAGGTGTTAGAGATCTGTTTATTTCCTGTTGCTTTATGATGATGTTAAATAAGACGCTTGAAAAAAACAACAAAAGCCCAAATCCGAGATGGCATCAGACAGAGTCCCCTGCATCTGTAGCCTCCTCTGTCGTTAGTTTGAGACTGGGAGATGTTCATATGACCTTTCCTTTGTTAGGAGAGAGCTGCAGTCCTTCCCAGAATCCTCCTGTTCACTGTCTTTTTTAGCCCAAGTTGGAGGCTGGCTGGCTGATGAATGAATGGTGAACTTTTTTTTTATGAGCCATACATATTGTTGACATTGTGTCACATGCTGCTTTTTAAATTTCTAATGTGTTTTTAATTTGCAAAGCATGTGTGTGCCTTTCACAGCAGTGGAACTAAGTCAGCATTTCTGAGTCCAGATATTGCTTTATGCAAACAAGGGTCAGGCTTAAGAATGCTAAATCGAAGCCTTAGATTTCCTGAACCACACATGTGAATGAATTTCACTTTGAATATTGTTGAATAAAAGAAGATACTTGAGAAAGGCATCTTTTCCCAAGAACTTCTTTTGCCTCTTGGCAAGTTAATTGCCCCATATAAAAGCACTGGGGAGAAAAGTGAGTTACAGAGTGAAAAGGCAATCCACAAATAATCACTCTTTTCTGCCTTTGATTGTGTCAGATTTTTTTTGTGTGTGTGGCAGTTGTTTTCTTTTTCACTTAGAAGAGGTTTATGGTCCAGTGTCTGTCAAGTCAGCCCCTGTCTTAAGGTTGCTGTTGTATTTCTCTCTGGAGTTCCTGGAGGTGATGTTATCTTTTGTTCACTCAGCAGTGTGGTCGGGCCTGAGAGCATCTGTCACTTTAGGCAGTGCAAGATGGATGGGTCTCCAGTGAACTGCTGGTTGAAGCAAATGGTGAAAATAAGAAAAGACAAGGGGCTTAAGGGTCTGCAGAGGGACGGGCACCAAGGAGGCACTGTTAGAAATCAAGGGTAAGCCGAGCGATAGAGGAAGAGAGAGCAGAGATGGGTCAGATGTCATTGTACCAACGTCTTGGGAATCAGGATCTCCTGGTGGCTGTCGCGATCTGAGGGAGGCTTCCGCGTCATGGTAAACAATTCTGTGCTCCGGGTTTGCAGAACGTTTGGACATTTTTGAAAAGTCTGGGAAAAGTGTTGGGAAGAAAGTAATGATAGGGGATGTCTTATATATGAGGATTTTGCTGCTTGGCGAACTAGTGCAGCAGTCTTTAAATGTTGTGAAGATTAAATTCAAAATTGACCCTCGATTTTTCTATTTTATTTTCTCTTTTGTCTTCTTTCCTCTCTTTTTTGTAAGCAACAGAGCAGTTGTAGATGTTAAGATGTTTGAAAAGTTTCGGCCACGTAACTGACCTCTTCACTGTGTTCGGAATGGTTTTTGGCGTTTTCACAGGAGAATCCTGAAATTCTGTGCTGCTTAGAAGGAGGCGGGGGAGATTTTAAGTTATCTGAAGTAACCTCCCGCTTCATTTCCTGGGCTCTTTGGTCAAAGAAAGAAATATAATTGTTGTTGATCTTTTAGAACAAGTTAAGATTTATATGATACTCATTTTCTTAGTGAAGGTCAAAATTTGTACATCCGTGCTGATGCAGTCTCTGTGTAAGACAGGAAGCAGGGAGGGAGGCTGGCTGTGAGTGAGAGAAGGGAACGGAGGGCAATGTAATTGAGGGAAAAAATGATTTCATCAAACTTTTTGGCATTTGACTATGAGAAAGACTATAGGTTGAAAGGTAAAGAAATTAAGATGATTAGAAGCTTTAAGCTATACAAATGGGAGAGTATCTCTCTTCTCTATGGGTGTAAATAATAGATGAAAGAGTCAGAGTGACAACAAAGGATCAGGTCGTTTAAGAGAATGTGTGCAGCCTGAATAGGGGTCTGTGGCCCAGGGCCAAAGGTCTTAGCTTCGAGTGTAATTAGAAGAAAATACAAAAATGTCATTACTAGCAGGTGAAGTGTTCAGCACGTGGCCAAAAATTAGCAATTTTAGACTCCAAAGAATTGGAATTGGATTACTGGCTTTTATTTTTTTTTTAATCATTATGGTCCTTATGGAGTCATATAGTTTTCATTGGCAGTAATCAGTTTGACCTTGCTGACCATATGGGGTAATCTTAGGTTTGGATGTAGGCAGCGAGACCCCTGGCTCAGGAAGGATGTCTCTCTGTGTGCGGGTGGATGGGAAATACGTGAGTTTGAAAATCTAGGTCCTGCATTTTAAATTACTCTTTTGCCCGAAGACATTCTGCAACAGTAAGAGAGGTAAGATAAAGATAATTTTTTTGTGTGCCAAAATCTAAAATTGTCCTTTTCTCTCAAGTTAGCTTAAAAATAAAATAAAATAAAATAAAAATCAGGTTTTTTAGGAACCATAAGTTAACATTACTTCAAGCATTTTAGTGCTAAAAATGTACACATTGAAATTACTACATTGTTAGAAACATCCTTTTGTTTTCTTTTTTAGACACAGTTCCATAAGCCTAGAACCACTTCTAAGCTATGTATAAAAATCAATGACAAATAGTTTTTATTTTACTTTATTCTTTATGTATCTGATTTTTCCATGCAGTGGTCAATACTGACCATAATCTACGTAAGTGGAGAAAATCATAGGGACACTATAATTTTCAACCAACTATATGTAATTATAATTAATTCACTATCTTCTAGGAATATACTCTTTAAAGGTTAGGAAACAGTAGCTCTTTTTCTTATTGGAGTCTTTTTCTTGGAAATAAAGCATTAATTTCAAAAAGTATAAAAATAATTTCATTACAAAAACCAAAAATATTCTATGGGCTATTACCATTATGGTAACACCTGCCAAAAAGTACAGATTAGACATACTAATTCAATGACTGCATTCACTAAATGTAAGTTTAGTGGGGAAAACCTTAAGAATAACAGAAACAGAAATTATTTTTCGGTGTACATAACTAGTGATTATTTGGGGAATATTTAGGAAGGAAGAATATTTGTGTATTTGCCAATTACGATGTATAGGGAGTTGCATAAAGCTTTGATCATTAATTTTGAATTCTGATCTTTGTAGAACTGTGGATGTTTATTGTGTTACAGAATGTAATGCACTTGAAAATTAACTCCTGTTTTTATGTATATATTTTTGTGTTTTTACAGGTGCAAAAAAGTCTTAACCAAGTTATAATCTAGGCGACAGACTCCCTGAAGTGTTGACTGCCCAATTTAATCATGAACATGATTCAAAAATGTTAATAAATAAACCAAGGTATTGTATAATTACATATGCTTGCCCCCCTTTTTTCTTCAAGATCTAATTTGTTTCAGGAAATTATTTTTAGAATATGAATAAAGCTACTGTGTTTGGTCCTTACACTGATTAAGTAGATACTTATACCAACTCTTTTCCTTCTCTTTGTTTGCCTGTCCACTTCCCACCTCTCTACTTCCCATATATACCTAAAATAAGAAAATAAGAATGCAGGGTTTTTGTAATTCCCCTTTTGTTGGTTGTGATTTTATCTTTCAAAATGTCTAAGACATACTTTTAGGTGATTGGCTTCTGCAAAAAATCCAAATATCTGTAAAACGTATCTCATAACTCTATCCTGAGGTGCATGTTATAACAAATTTGAGGTTTTTCTGCTATTTCAGAAGGCTTTTCATTTAGAAATGGAAAAAAAATCATACTGCTTTTTCTCCTTCCATGTCAAAGAAAACCAGAAGCTTGCTTAGAATTGAGCATTTAGAGTTAGTGTTTTAGATAACCCTGTCCATCAGAAGGGACATAACCCACGGCCGGTTGCTTTCCTTTTGGAGGTTACAATGTGCTTAAATAGCCTGGCATTTCCAAGGGAGGCCAAAGATCTTTTCCTGTTTTATGACCTGTTGTATCCTTTTGAGGCCAAAAAGAACAAGAGGGTCATTGCCACTTCAGCTTGGTCCCTGTTTGTTCCTTCATGGTGACCACGCAGATACTGAAACGCAGTCTTGGCTCAACATTTGGGCCTGGAACATCTGGAAAATAGTGAGAGAGGGAGAGGAGGAGGCAGAAGAAAGAGAGAGAACTGTTGCATTTTGTTTCACCAGGTGCTAGGAGGAAGCAACATTAGCCTTTTTGATATGGGAGGCAAATTCTGTGGGCCCCGGAGTTAGGCTCCAACAATTGAAGAGGTCAAAGGACAGCTGAGTGAGGTCAGTGAGACACCATGGGGTGTATTTTGTTACTGAGTAAAAGGAGCAGCCTCCTAAAACCTTAAAGGATTCTCTTGAAAATCTGTGTTGTGAAAAGGTTTTATGAGTCTCATGGCAAAAACTCCTGATTTATCTGAGGAATGCTCGCTTTTGTCTAATGGCAGGATAATCCTTACCAAATGTCGGCAGGGGCTAGAGGAGCCAATATGGGCCTGGGAGGACAGTGAGGGTTTGACGTGTTCTGTGCTTTCCAAAATGTTTATCATTTTAATGTTTCTGAATCGGGGAAGAAGTTTGCACCGCTGAAAAATCACTTTTTCTTTCCCTTGGAGCGGAAAGTGAGATGGGGTGGGGAGGAAGGGCCGAGGAGCAAGCCTACATTAGTTTAAAAGTCATTCTGCACGCCGGTGACAGTACCCGACAGAGGAGGTGATTATTAAACCTTGTTAACTCTAAAAAGCTATGCTTTGAATTTATTTTAACTTAGGGAATAAATGGCACGTGAAATGCAAGTTTTCTGAAAGTGTGTGTTGGGGGGTGGCTTGGACACACAGCCACATGCGCGCTAGGTGAAAGCTCTGTCAGGGAGCCACGCCCCAGTCCTGGCTTACAGACTTTTAAATTTAGTTGTTAATAGTTAACAGAAGGGGTATTAGCTGATGACTGATCTTAAGTCTTGTGTCTCTGCTGAGTGTGTGTTCCTCATCCATTTTGTGGCAGTAAGAAGAAAATCAATGTCAGAGTCACGATTAGAGAATAAGAAAAGCAATATAGGGCCAGAGGGTGTAGCTCGGTAGTAGAGAGCTTGCCCGGCACAGAGGCAGAGGTGGGCAGTGATATAATAAGAACTTTTCTCTTTGAAAAAAGATGGAGAAAGAAAAAATAATCTGCATGTCATGAACCCTGTGCTTGCCACAGCCCCAGGACCTAAGAGTCCACTTACGTGGTTGCGGATACTTTTGAAAGGTGATAGCCACCTGCGAGGAAAAAGGAAGCATTAAAGGGATTTAGTAGTATTTCAGTATTCTCATTTATACATTGTATACATGTACACTTACAGAAAGTACGGATGACAATGTATGTAGTAAGAAAAAAGGAAAATGGTGAGGAATATATAATAGGCTCTGTTAAGCATTTTCATATCAACTTATAAATTAATATTACAGTTACAAATGTATTAATTTATCTTCATGCTTTTTTTGCAATCCTTCTCAAATAATTACTCCCATTAAAAGAATATATACACAAAGGTGAGGCTTAACAGCGTGCTATTTTCTCAAGGTTAAAACACCTTTCAGCAACTGATTTAGAAACCGAAGTGTAGTGACTGATAATTGCCAAGAGAAAACCCACAGCTGTTTAAGTAGCATTGAAATTGTGGCAAAACTGACAAATACAATTAGCAACGTTAATAAGATAAGAAGAGGGAAGGACAGGCGGATGACAGAGTGGGAGATGAAGGAGGGAGAGCAAGAAATCCGTGTAAACAGAGTGTGCACAGTTGCTCCCACTTTCCAGCACTTTCCTTTTCAGCTCCGTCTCCCTCTGTCAGAGCTCTCCGAGTTACGCTGGAAGACTGTTTCACAGGCTGAGCAATTCAGGCACATCTGTAAAGCACCAAACTCACATCCGATTTGAAAGAAGACATGTTGGGTGATAATATTTAAGAAAAGCGATCCAAGTTTGCTGATTACAAAGCACAGTCTAATTGGCAGTGCTCTTGAACGGTCGGTTTAAATGTACTTCTGTGGTACTGTTGTTACTGTGGGTGGGAATTTCTTTCCTACTTTTTGCACCCCTGTAATTCGCAGTCATCAAGTGCATTATTACAAAGGGACCTTGTTTCTGGATTTGGTGGCCCACGATTACCAAAAACAAAATAAAACCAAGAACACCATACAAGTCTTTAATGTGTTGTTACTAGTTATGTTTATCTGGTTCATGTAAATAGCCCTTTTCCCCAACAATTTTAGGAAAATTAAACAGGGAGAATTTTAAATAGTGAAACTAGGTGTCATGTGCAAAATGTCCAGCTTCAGGTAGCAGTGGAAATTAGAAACAGCGCGGTACAGTCTCTTTTGAAGTTCTGCTCTGCATTTGGTAAATTACTTCTTGCCTCTGGTGTTTTATGCAAATTTTAATGATTGTTGTGATAAATCCCCAGAAGTTTGTTTTCTAAAACCATAGAGACTGAAATCTCGGTGGCAATCTTGATGGATGTGGTAAACCACACTTGGGAAGCATTTCTCGTTATTTAATGTTTTCTGTTCTGGATTATTGACTCTTCTCCTGTTGAAAAATTGGTCTCTGGTGACACGGTAGAGGTCACGCGTTGCCTATTACTGTGTGCTTCTTTGATCTTACACAGGGATTGCCTCTGGTAATTATACTAGTTCCAGAGAGTCTTGACAAGATGTGTTTATTTTACAGAAGAATTTCTGGCATTTCGGGAAAGAAAGTAAGGATTTCTAGTAGCAACCTGTAATTTTTTTCACAAAGGAAAAATAGCCTTGTACTTCATCTTATACTTATGTTTTTAATAATTATCATAAAATTAGTTGGCACATTACAGCAATTACTTCTATGATAACTTAGGACATTTCATATCTGTAAATATGTTACTAAGATGATCAATTTTAGAATTAAGCTACCAGGCTGTGTTTTTATTTCACTATCTAAAGTACTTTCAATTTTAGAAGTTGTCAAAATAGATTTCTCTCGATTTTAAATATGTAGAACTACTAAAAGAGATTGAAAATTTTGTCTTTTAATGTTTGCATTCTCCATAGATTTTCAGCAAGAAAGATGAATCAAAATGAAATGAAACACTTTTTGAATGCATGGTTAGATTTATACTTTTTTGGAAAGGAGATGATATCTCTTCAGACCTCTTTACTGTGTAATTGGCTGAGACATGCAAAAACTCAGTCTGTTTAGTTTTTTTCTCAATTCTACTTTTCAACAAAATATTTACTCCCTAGAACGCACATTGTGATGAGGGAGTTAGACAAACACTAGGCTTAGTTAATATAAATAAATAAGAGTGAGTAGATATCAATTTGAAAGAATAAATGGGCCTAGGGGCAGGGAGCTCAGGGTTAGAGCATCTGAGAGGCCTGGATTCTATCCCCAGCACCAAAAAAATAATAAAAAATAAATCAATGAAATGCTAAAAGAAAGAACTGTGATTATGTGCTGCTTGCTATTAAATCTGGGTTATAAACTCTGAGAACTTGCAAGAAGTACGTTTGATGTGTGTAAAAGTTACACGTTATCACTCTCATCTGTAATTTTTTTTGCGGGGAGGTGTCTGGGGTTGAACCCTGGGCCTTGTACATGCTCTGCCACTGAGCTGCACTTCGGAATATTTTTAATGATGAGAGAATATGTAATCAGGAGTTCAATAACAAGGAATTTCCTTGTACAAAGAATTTTATTGCTGTAAGCAATAGTAACGATCTAATCTATAAACATATCTCACAGGTCAAGAAGCTGAGTTTGAGAGAAGTTAAGTGATTTGTCCAAGGCTATATCATGAGGAACACATCCAGACAGACCTCTTAGGGTTTAAGAAATCTTCTATCTCCCAGTCGTTGGATATACAGTAGAGTTGCACTGAGCAATATGATAGCCACCTGCTACAGGTAGCTATTTAAATTAATACAGAATTAAATGATTTGAAGATTTTGGCCCTTAGCCACAGTAGCCACATTTCCAGTGTTCAACTGCTCATGTAGCTAGTGGCTACCACACCTCAGAACATTCCAGTCATCTTCTGCTGGATACCACTGCCCTCGGGGACAAAGGTCATTCCATGATTGGTATATATGATTGTAAAATTTCCTAATTGTATGTTCTGCCAAAAAGCATTAATGGTCATTTATTGCTGGAAAAATGCCCCAAACCTGCCGTGGTGCCCAGTAGTTTCCTCAATGTGGCACAATGTTAAAATGTAAAAACAAAAACCCACTATCACCACATTTTCTGTACCCTTGCTCTGTGCCAGATACTGTTCTAAAAATTTTAAAGATATAGTCTCATATTTTCACAAAAGCCTTTGAGATTGGTAGTCTT